AAAAAAAAAAAAAAAAAAGAACTATGAGAATTGATAAAAATATTTATAAATCACAGGTAATTTATAATCATCATAGTTAGAATAAGAAATACAGTTTGGGTGCCACAGAACCAGGACAGACCTGGAACATCCCAAGCCCCATCCATACTTGTTGAGAAAATGCCCAAGAGCCAGGACTCCATGGGGGACAGGCTTCAAGACCTTGGGAGTGTGGTTTACCACTAGTGCTGCCCTCGGATGTTGTAGACCAAGAACCTGAGCCCAAAGATCAGACAGTAAATTCTCAGACCTGACAGGTGACTGTGTTATGCCTGAAATTCTCCTAAAAGACCCCAGCAGACAAATCCGAGACACACTCCGATGTAAAAAAGCATGAGGTGAGATTTTATTCAAACCCCGGTCTGGTCTCTCCTGGCATGCAAGCCGAGGAAGAGCCTCGAACTCGGGGTGGAGCAAGTTTTTATGGGGTATAGAAAGCAAGAAGGGTAGGGTCCGTTACGAGTACACTCTTGATTGGTGGTTGGTGATTTCATTAGTAAAGGAGGAAGTAAAGGAGGATTTGCATTGGTAGCTGATGATTTTACTAGTAAAGGTGAATTTGGATTGGTACAGGTGAAGGGTGGGGGGTCCCTTAACCGGGGGCTAGAGTTGGTGCAGCCTTATTACCTGTATTTCAAGGTAATAGGAACTTATTATTTATTATAGCAGCTGTTTGCCTAAGGTGACTCAGTTTACAGCTCAGTGGCTGTGCAACCTGGGGTGGGGGAGAGGCAGCAGGGAGTGGCCCTGCAGGTTTCGCTGGCAGAGGTTGGGGCGGAAGGGGTAGGAATGGAACTTATGCCTTAAACAGCCAGGAATGGGGCTTGTGCTGTAAACAGCCAAGAATGGAGTTTGTGCTGTAAACAACAAAATGGAGCTAGTTTGGCTCTCACAACTGTGTGTTGCTGGAAATGTTCCAGCCGGAGTTGCAGAGATAAGATCAACAGTCAGAATGTACAGAGAAACGGGGACTACAGCTTGCTCAGGTCCCTTCCAGGAAGTTCCAGAGATAATTAGACTCTGCCTTCAGGGTCTGCCTCCTATATGATTAACTTTCTAATCATGTAGGACTGTCCTCAAAAGAATATCCCTTCATGTGGACTCTGGAAACATTTCTTCAAGCATAAATCAATGGCACTCGAAGTTACATTGAGGTTACAACTGTGTTGCTTTTCTTATTGATTCTATTAGTAGTGTTTTATTAGTTGATTTTCCCACATGGAGCTATACTGGCAATCCTGGTAATAAATTCCATTTGGGATACATGTATTAAAAAAAAAATACAGCTTGATTTTAGAGAAAGGAACAAGAACTTAGCCTTGATGTGTAACAGAGGGAAATGGCTTGAAAAGGGTAAAAAAAAATTGTCTCTTTAAACCCCCCATATCCTTTTTGAGAACTAAAACCTGCATTTTTGCCTGAGGCCAGTTGTCAGAAGGGGCAGGGTAGTGTCCTTTGTTCTTTGTACCACAGGAGAAGGCTCAATGTAGAATTTTCCAGGTAGAGGTCCAGGCAGGAGATGGGTTCCATCAGAACCATCAACTACACAATACCCTGAAGCTGAAAACCCTCCCTTTAAAACCTCTGTATTCCTGCTTTTGGGGAGAACAATGGTACTTTGGGACAGGAGTCTGCAGTTCTCCTTATGTGATGATTTGCTAAGAAGTGGGAAGCAGCTATTAAGCAACTAATTATGCAGCTAACTGAAAAATTACAATTATGATTATTCCTATGACGAGAAAATATAACACATTTAATGGAGATAGTAGGGGTTCTAACTAGTATTGTGTGGGGGTTGGAAGACAGGGAAGGCCATTCTGGGGAGCATCATGAAATCTAAGACTGGAAAGCAAAGAAGAAAAAGAGATGAGAACAAAGTATGACCAACATCAAGTAAGTTAGTGTAAAAGTGTTTTTTTTTTTTTTTTTTTTTGAGACAGCGC